GGCGCGGCGGGTAAGGCTGCTCGAGCCAGCTTTCGTGCGCAGAAAACTCTTTAGATTTCCTTACAGATGATTCCGGTTGAACAGAACATCTGACACATTCCATGCGGTGTTTGAAACTCATAGGCGCCAACGCGCCAAATGCGCCTAAAAAATCGGCCATGGCGCCTAAAAATGGGCCCCATGACGGCTCTGCGCCAGCGTGGCCCCTAAAAATTGCTCCCTAAAAATCTGAATTTTCATATTACACTGGAAAAAAACACATTGGATCTTGAGTCCAGACTCTTGAAAACATTGACAAGAAAAAGGATTCTTGATTCAATCAGATTTAAGCTTATATCAAGAACCAAGCCTCTTAATTTGAGCGAATTTCTTTTTGATTTAAGCTTAAATCTGATTGAATCAAGAGTCCTTTTTCTTGTCAATGTTTACAATAGTCTGGACTCTAGATGTTTGGGTTTCTTTCCAGTGTAGGTGATTATTCGAAATTTCGACGCAAGGCACCGGATTGAACTCGCGAAAAGCGAGCAGTTACGCCATGTTGAGCGCGCAATTTCGCCGCGGCGCGGCGCGGCGGTGCATTTGCCTCCCCCAAGTTACAGCTACTTACTTGTTCTGTTACGAAAACATCTTGCGTCTAACTTTTCACTAAATGCGCCGTACGATATATAGCCATAAAGTCTATTTGGCCCCTAAAAAAATTTTAATGGCGTCTAAAAATCGGGCTTGATACGCCACATGGCTCCTAAAACTCAAAGGTGAGTTTCGAACACTGATTCCATGATCTGTATTGAAGTATTCGATTGTGAGGAACAGATGTATTACGTTTTGCAATAAGAAACCACTATTTCTGGCCCATTTCAGAAACAACATACACGTCATTGGTTTCCCTATGCAGCTATGTGCTTTTATGAGAGAGCCGGAGATGGTGACTCCTTATTGCAAAATGTAATTCAGATCATCAATCCTTAAAAATAACGTTTTGGAAATTTTTCGGCGAGTCATCACTTCAAGTATAGCTAAGTTACTTAGGTCGGTTGATTCGACTGGAGGAGGTTCACGGAGAAAAAGGAATGGAGAATTTGCAGGTGTCTGAAAGTTGACAGATTTTGTATGAGGTCTGACCGACGGTCCCATTATGTTACACGAAATTCCATGTGATTATTTTCGCTTTTAAAGAATATTCTCGCGAAATTTTAGGGAGAATAATGGAAAATTCCGAACTATAAGCCAGGTTTTCAACTGTAGCAAAGCGATTTACTACGAGCGTGGAGCACCCGTAGATGGTTTGGTCACGTCGCTGCCCAGAGAACTACCAGTTTACACAACAGGTTGATTCCAAGACCACATTACGTAAATTGACGTTATCGAAGTTAAAAATAAGGGAGTAAGGAAGAGGAAGATTGGAAATTGGAATAGAAAAAGGAGGAAAAGAAGAGGAATAAAGATAAGAACAAGAAGAGGAATAAAGATGAGAACAAGAAGAGGAATCAAGATGAAAACAAAGGAATGACCCAGGAAGGAGAGGAAAGAGTAGAATGAGGATTCGATGCAAAATAAAAATGAGAAACTCGTATTTTGAATGCTTGGATTGAATTCGAAAAGTGGTACGCTCTCCGAGGGAGGTAGAGCCAGTAAACACTTGAGATTCAAGTTAGAGGTCGCCGGTTGAGAATAATTAATAACGCATTTTACCATTATGATCGGTTGATCGGATGCAATAGACGGCCACCGGCCGCATCTTAATTACAGCTCACTGTTTCTGAGCAGCCCAGCGAGACGCTTTTGTGTCGATAATTAATAAGACCACCTCTGTAGTCTCATGCTTGGATCGATGAATTAATTAATAAACACGGATAAGTATCATCGAGGAGTTTCGGCCCTCTCGGTTCCGCTTTTTTAGGATGCATACAAACGGAAGACGCAGCCTCCATTAAGATTCTCTTCTCCAAGACCTGGGTAAATTAATTCATCTTAACTAAATAAGGGTTACATTTTAATAACGAAAAGTGCCGGAGAAGCGCATTCTGATTCTGACATCAAATTACAGAAAACTTTCGTGTAATATAGTGGCGAGGCGTGAATGATCGATTATCGATACTTCCCCATTGAGGCGATGGTAAAGAATCGATTATTGGTGTTCGTTGCGGACACCCTGTTTATCGATCCTTTTCCATAGGTATAAATGGCAGATCGATCGATTTATCGCAAATCACGCCACACCCCTAGCATCAAGCTCGAACCGAAAAAACGAGGTTCGAAATCTTACTCCTCTATAGGGCTCAGTATTAAGGACAGTTCAACGACTAATTTCAAGTTCAGAGTATTTTTTCTCGACTTTGAATTTTCAGCAGGAGAACTTTAACCACTAGTTGAAGTCAGATTTACGTACTACTCATACTCGTATGACTCCTTGGCCCCTGCCATGCCATGAGGGTAGTTTCTGCCGTGCAATCAAAGAAAAAAGAACACGGCAATTCTGCATGGAGACTTTAACGCCAGATTAGAAATGTCAACCTACCGCGATCGTCTGGCAACCAGCTCAACATTGTGCAAAATTCTTTAGATTTTGTTTGTTTTTTACAATGGAGAGGCTTACGTAAGGCACTGACCCTGCGTAAAGCCTGGCTGTCTCCCCTCTAGAGCATTACGTAATTTATGAACGCTCCCTTTAGACTACACGCAAGAATTTTGACCCACCCATAAACCTCGGAACGCTCTTCTCCCTAAATTTAAATTTCCTTTTCCTCCTCATAATGCGTAAGTCACAGTGTTGAACAGTGTTCTGATTCGAAAGTTGGAATTCCTGAGGACAGCGGCAACAGGGAGAGCGGAGAGGGTTTCCACGCGGCCGAGCCTTTTCTGCGGGTGCGCTCGGTGCCGCGCGGAGCGGAGGCCTGTAATTATTGCGGTGAGCTGAGGGCGCAGGCGTCAGAAACAACAAGTTGTCTTAGCTTATTTTACTACCGTTCGACTTCGACACTTGTTAATCCCCGTTCCATTCCACCTCCCTGTCGAATCTCCTCTCCCCGCCCTCCCAAACACCCTGGCTACCCACCACGATAATCCCGCGCCACGGTTCCGGTCCCGGGAAACAAGATTTATTTAGCCATAGTCCGTATCCAGCCAAAGTTCCTCGTTTCCTATAAAGGAGCATTGCTACACCTTTAAAGCGTCAAGCCCACATACAAACTAGGGGCTTCAAAGAGGCTTATCGATGGAACTGTTGACTGTTGCCTTTGACTGTTGACTGTTGAGCCAATCAATGGTTCGGGACCATAGAGTACATAGAGTCGTAATGTAAATTAGAGTCCCTTTATACCCAGAGTAACGACAACTCGATTATCAGCTGACTGGCAGCCGACCTTGGCTGGCCATGGAGGCCGAAACTAGTGCACTCAAACGAACGATATTGGGGGATAAGGATCAGGAATCCTGCGATGTCTGTCACACAGAAACAACAACATCAACAAATTGATCAATTAAAAAGAAAATGAGATTGGTTTGTGAATAATTTCCTAATCTATTTTCATTTTGGACCGATGGCAATAACAATTTACTCTTGATAAACCATAATTAGGTAATATTTTCATTATTCTTGTTCACATACGAGGTACCGCCATCTTGGTGCACTAGTTTCGGCCTCCATGAGCGAGAACCAATCAGAATTGGATTTTTTTTTAGGCCACTTTCTGCCCAATCCTGGCCCAACCAAAAGTGAGTTGTCGTAACTCTGGGTATAAAGGGACTCTAATGTAAATGGGAGAGCTGGCGCCATGTTCTGCTCGATGAGTTCGGGTCACTTTTTCGATCCAAAATGGTGGTGTGGAATACGTGGTGATTCCTATCTTCTTTGTTCATATCGGATGGCCGGGTACCACCACTACCACCCGTGTATCGCAAACAATCGAGCATGTATCAAAAAAGTGACCCGGTGTCACACAGGAGTCTCGGAATTCAGGACCTGGAAAATGCTTAAAAGTGGCGTCAGCTCACCCGCTTTCATTACAACTCTGTGTCCTCTATATGTATGCGGGACACATCAGAGATCAGATCTGGAAATTTTCAAGAAATTTCGTACAAAAATGACTGAGAAATTGAAGAATTAGCGCCAGTTTAAGAGCCCCATTTTGAATGTGGGCTGGACCCTATAGACACAGATCAGGATCGCACCAGCCAAGATGACGTCATTTCACTGTATTACGTGGCTCTCACTCGAGAATCGAGAGGGAAAACTCATTCGAGCAAAGTTTTCCCTCGTGGAGCCATGCCGTCTGAAAAGTTACCTTTTTTAGATGAATTATTTTGCATACCGTATGCAAACCCAAGGTCCAACTGTCAATAATCCTCATGAAGACTGGAAATGTCTTTTTCATATTGCATCATGCAAGCAAACTAGTGTTACCGATTTCTAAGACTTTATTTTCTGTGTAAATATTCGGGCGAGAGAGAACTAGATACATTAAGCCGCTTTTATAGCGCAGCCTCGCGCTCTGCGACGCCCAACCGCCATTGCCCCCTATCCTCCCAGGGACCATTGGGCAATTGGCACCTCCTGAGGACTAGGTAATGTTTCAAATACTAGGAGGGGCTAGGTAGAAGTTTACCCCTTAAGAGATACGTATATGATGGAAAAATATCAATTAAAAATGTATTTCACTAGAGGGAAAAAATTGCTCACGAGAATTCTGGGTTTGTATTAGTATTCCAAGTGGCCAGAACGCTCTTGAGTAATTTTTTGTTCATATTCTACAGGCGACTTCGACTAAAATTCACAAAGGAACTTATAAAGCTTACCACTTTTCTGCCTATCTGGACGGGGGCGGGTCGGGGTGGACTTTGAGCCGGCGAGAAGCCGGCCGCCTGTCTCGCCGGGGAGGGTTGACTGCGAGTTGGAGATCGAGAATCACTGTTCCTAGAGGGGGTCCAACCACCGGATTTGCTGAGTTTCTGATCATCAACAGACCTGATCGGCGAGGGCGTGTAACCTCGCGGGGGACCGGGGGTGCCCGGTCTTTTCTTGACGGCCGGACAGGGGGGTTTCGGGGGGCATACGTCTCTGATCAACTGTCGCTTCGTGATCTCGCTTATGTGACTCATGATTACTGTCAGCGTGTACAACGTTAGGGCTTGAAACAAAGTCGAATAGTTAAAAAAAGGCACATCTTTTTTGAGTTTTGAAAAATAACTAAAATATCGGATTGGGCATACGTCTAATAGGGACGCATACGAAATTGGAGGGTCAACAGGGGCGTAGCTAGGAGATTTCTCTGGAGGGGGGGGGGGCATGGGACCACCTCTCGTGGTGAAGAGAGCGGGGGGAGGGT